AAACGCAAAGCTACACTGCTTCACAATAATTGTTGGTAACGCTTCAATAAAAACCCCAGGGTGCTTAAGTTCTCCAAACATTGCTCTCTTTCTTCAGTTAAAAACACTTTGCCAGAGCATCTGGTGGGATGTTCACAATATGCCAGCCTTGTGAAAACTGGGGAAAATCAAATAGAGTCGACATCTCGCCTCCTATCCACTGGAAGCATATGGAAATTGCTGTAGTTAATGAGGTATTCTCAAGAACATTCAGCCTATATGTTTTTTTTTCCCAACAGAAGCCACTTTAAAACAACTATTTCCAACTCCAACAGCCAATAGTTCTTTTTTTGTTGTATTACTAACCTTCAAACACACAGAGTAACTAGACAATGAATGTTGAAGGCTTCAGAACCTCAGAAATACACAGTACATGTATCTGTTTCTCAAGGTGTGATCCTGTGTAAACAAGACCAGGGTTGTGTCTCAGTCAATACTCCTTCTATAATGTACACTAAGTAGTTCACTCTGTAGTGAACAGTAAATTGAGATTAGACATTGACCATTAGACAGGAAGAGAAATGTAGATATGTACAGATGTATGCAGAGATTGTAAAAAGCATGATCTGAATCTCTTTTAAGCTCTTGTTTTGCTTCTTCACAAATATACTTAGTCACTTTTATATGTGCATTACAGGTCAATGTAATACCGCGAATCCCTTCCAGATTATATTAAAATGTGTGCCATTATCTCCATTTGTACAATTCATCCCCTCTCACATCTCTATATGACGGCTAGCTATCACCCCACCTATAAGTGCAGCCATTTAGAGCAGCTATAGTATAAACACCTCTGCCTTACGCGGCTGGATGTGAAGGATACTGCTTTTGTTTTTCAGACTGAGATGTGATGAATATACCAGGAATATCTTTTCTACATCTTTAATGGCCAAGTTTTTCCCAATACTTACTTACTGTAGACTAGGAAATGCTTGCTAGTAATATTTTTCTGCTCTCTGCTTCCTTGAGTTCACCCTGAATGCCATTAATTACTAGCAGTTTGTTTTTCATAAAACATTTGGTTACTGACTCGCTGCTTTTTCAGTTTTCTTTTCATTGTCCTTCACCCCCCAACACACACCACCTGTTGCAGCCCATCAACATATTAATTCACACAAAATAAACTTGTGTTTTGATGTTTTAATGAATTTAGAATATTCACAAGTTTCAATCTGTTGACTGTCCTTATCAAAATAAACCCACACTAGGCAACTGGCACAAATACTGTCCGGTGCCATGTGCAAGTGTCTGAAGCACAAGGCATTAATGCATTCAGTGGAAACGGCTTGAAAAGCAGCACAAACAACAATTAGATAAAATGGGTGACATATGTATTTTTATTTTTTGCTTGGAAACAATAGTAACTGTTGCTGGGGACAAAGCCAAAATTCACTGGCAATTCACATGCAAACAGTAAAAAAGCAAAACTCTGGCTAATACTGTTGCTGGCTTTCCATGGTTGTCTTAAAAAATAGTATCCTTGGTGTCTGAGCAAGCCATGGTGTCAGTGTATGAAGATGGAGTGTGACAAGTATAGACTAACAAAAGAGCTGGGAGCTAGTTCCTGCTTTATGGGCCACGCCATGTGGAAAACACAAATATGAATAATTCAGAAATCATGTTGCTCTCACCACTGAATGCAATTTTCTTTTCCAAGGGTCACTGTGTGGCCAAAAGCTAATCAACTTCTGCGCTGCTGCTTATATAAAACAGCTTTAAAAGTGAAAACATCAAATGACAACACAGGAATGTCTTCTCACTCAAGTTCACACTCGCTTCTGTTTGCCTCTCTGAACCTATTCCAACAAAACCAAACTTGAATGTGACATCAGACAGTTTCCTGGTGTCCTCCCACTTACCCCATCTTAATTGCAGAGAAGATCCACCCTGCTTAACATTTCTGAACCTTGTAAGCCAACCACAGTCCTACTTTTTAAACCTTTCATTAGCCAGTGATTACTGTTAATGCTTGCTGGAATTGGTGGGCTTTGTCTTTCATTAGCAGGCTTGAGTCATACAAATGACTGTACAGAATGAACCTTTGTGCCGTTTGTTCAGACAGCCAAACAACCAGCTGAAGAGATAGTTTAATTTGATGTATGCTCTATTATTCTCTGCCCTACTTCATTTTGTTTTTGCTCAGTTCTTTCAAAAAGCGTAGGCTACAAGTGTCAAGTGAAATGTTACAGCAACAAAATCCACTGACAGCATGTCATGCATTTGTCTGATACCAAATGCTGGTTTTGTGCTCTGCCTCGTTTCAAGGGTAATAATTCTTTGAACAGAATGATTCACTGCCATGCTGATGACATCTCTGCTTGATGCCCTGCAATTCATTGTGTGCTGCCTGGCAGAACTTGTTCATTACCCTGTGCACAATCTGAAGGCAATATGCATGTGCATTGCCATTCTGCATACACTCATCCATACATAAACCAGATACAGAGAAACAAATACTGTAGCTGTTTAACAGAGAGGGACCTGTATTATGCATTAGCAATTTATCAGGTCTAAAAAGATAATTATGGCCATTTTGAATATTAAGGCCCTCTCCAAGGTCCCCTCTCTTTAGCTTGTTGGTAACCTACAGTTAAAAGTTTAATGTATATAACATTTTAACAGTATTTACTGTACATTGTGCCATTTAAACAAATCTTTCATAGCACCTAAGAAGATAGTTTTTTATTTTATTAAACTTAAAGGATAAGGCTGGTCATTTTCTATATTAATAGTATTTTCAACAATTTCCATACAGAAACTAAAACGATCAGTGAATTGCCTCTACGCAGTGTTAATATCTGTCAATCTTTCAGTCCTGCATCAGCTTGTTTGTCTGGGCCACAGACCTTTGTTGTTGTTCAAAATCAATTAAACACACATCAGTGAAACACGCTGCTGCACAGGGTGACACATTTTTTCATTACAAATCCCCAGACCTGAGCATGAGGAGCTAGCGGAATGTACAGTAAACAGAGCTGAGAGCTTGCACAAAATCTCACAAATGTGCAGTTGACTCTGATTTGTGCTGACTTTAGGAAATTATGGCTATTTGGAACCTTTGGGGCAACATATTCGGGTCTTGGGTGTTGTAATGAAAAAAACATGTCACCCTGTGCAGCGGCGTGTTTCCCTGATGTGTGTTTAATTGATTTTGAACAACAACGGAGGTCTGTGGCCCAGACAAACAAGCTGATCCAGGACTGTATGATTGATAGATATTAACACTGAGTAGAGGCAATTCATTGATTGTTTTAGTCTGTCTGGAAATTGCTGAAAATGCTATTAATATAGAAAATGACCGGCCTTGCACAGCATTCTAATCAGCACTTTCGGGTAGAAAAGCATCTATTAATCTAGTTAAAACTTGAATTAGGGTAATGTGAACACAAATGACATTACATTATGACATTAATACATGAATTTGTTTTTCATAAACAACTTGCAAGTCTGAATAAAGTCTCTGAATGCTAACCATGAACATTCACCTCTGAGATCTGTTAGTAGTGTTTTTCCCCCCACACATAATTAGAAACAAGTCCTCTCAACGCAAAGTCCTCTGAAAATGCTCTGACAAAAATTCAAGGTGCGTGCTGTAGATATAAAAAAAAACCTGCCTGTCACTGTCTTGATTGTTTTCTCAGGTCAAAGCATAAATCGTAAGTTTTTATTTATGTGAAGTTTAATTTAACTAACTTAGTCTAAAGTCCCTGGTGATTTTTAAGAATTGGCAGTTTTAACACGAATATTCTAATACACACACACACACCTACACAAAAAGAGCTTAAAGGTTCAGGTAAAGTCAATACAGACATATTAACATTTAGATTTTCAGAATTCACATCTCCCTCAGTTTTACATTGATAATACAGCATAGTTCTGATGATACAGTGGAGCTTCTTCAGTACACTGTGCTGTAAATCAGGGTATGTGGGCAGTGTGGAAGCAGCATGACGTAATTTGCCTGCAGCGTGGAGTGGCTTCTTTTGAGAAGTCAAAGCATCAGGGTCCTCTCTTGCCCGAAGGCACGACTTCATCTCTTGAAGAGAACACATGCTAATGGGCTGCAATGCCACTAATGGGCGGCATTAACCCCAGTATCACAGATACTCATGTTTAAATGATGAAAAAACAAAATGATCTGGTATCAAGCCCTGCAAAGTGAAATGCTGCAGGTTTTGTCTCAACTGAGTGGGGAGTGGCAAACAGAGCACTTAGAGCAGCTGGGAGCTGAATGAATGCAGAATGTTCTGAGCAGGTGGGACTTTCTGCCTCTTCACTTCACTTTACATAGTTTCAATGATCACATTTTCACCCAAGGGGGTTAACCAACTTATACCAGATTAGGGCTTTCTAAATATACACATTTGTTCACATGTACAGTAGGTGGATAGTAGCAGACTACTGTGTTTAACCGTTGAAACATTTCTTTATATGTATATAGCCTACTGTAGTGTCTTGTGCATGATGTTTACTACTTAACTCTTTTGCGTTAACTTTGAAAGAAATGTAATTTTCTTTCATTTTCAGGGTGCCTTATAAACATCTGCCCAGGGAACAGGGAACTCAGTCATAATTGGCTTACCTTTCACTGTTGTCAAGAGTGAAAAACTATTGTTTTTTCTTTATGACATGTTTGCTTATTTGACAGCTGAAAGTAAATACAAACAAGAAATGTGTGAGGAGAGAGGGACCACACACTGCAAAAGGTTCGCTGCAGCTGGAAACCAAGGACACTGTGCTCCCATGGTACAGACATGCACTTTCATCAGAATGTCCCAGAACTAATTGCTTTATACATATGTATTATTAAAATCTGTTCTAATTCTTATCATTTAGAAGCCGTTGAAAAAGAGACAAACCATTACTATGACCCACTGATACACTGAAGAACAATGAACTTTTGAAGTTATTAGTGTTTGTAACAGCATAAAAAGCACCTTGTTTCCTGGCAAAGTCCTTACCTTGCAGAGCCTCTTTAGCTCTATCCAGCTCCTGCTCCTTCTGGGCCAGCTGCACGCGAAGCTCGGTGACGGACAGTACATCGGCTGAGCAGCCTCCCTGGGTCTCCTCCAGGTCCTTACTCAACATGTCCTTCATTTGGCGCAGCAGGTGCACCTCCTCCTGGAGCTGGGCCACCTCCTCACGCAGCAGAACTACAACACAGAGAGGAAAGAGAGCTTTAACAGGCTACCACTAAAACATAACCTGGTATAAAAATATCATTCCAGTCACTAGAGAAGTGTCACGTGCACACTGGAATCTAATCTTATTGAGGTGCATTAGCTTTGAAGAGCTCCATGACTGCAGACATTGTTATGTCTGAAATGCAAAGCCAATTTAACATCACCATAGGAGGTTATGGTTTCATTTGTAATTGCGATAACCACAGAGCCAAATTATTGTCGGTAATAAACATCACAGGAGTAGGTAGGGTCCAGTAGATAAGTAGAGACAAGATACTGACATTATAATAACATTTGTCTTTGAATCTGCCTGTTGAACCTACACTGTGTTGGCAAGAATTGTGGGAAAATAACAGGGGTGGATCAATTTCATATTCAGTGACTGCTGAGCCCCTCCATGGCACTGTCACAAAGAAGCAAACAAGAAAATGAAAACAGCAGCAAAGACACAACTTGAGCAACAAAAAATATTTCAAAGTCCTTTTAAAGTATTGCAACAGAGAAAGAACAAGCCACAACAGCCCAAATGCCACACTTCAATTTCTCATATCAAACCTAACAAAGTAAATACTGGGTTTAAAACAATGTCTTTTTTGCACAATGAATGGGGCTGTCTACGCTGAGCATATGGACAGTAATTTATATAAAGAATGAGCAGATTCATTCTACTCAATTTCATGCATCCTGAGGGGGAGCCGAGGAAAACTGCTCAGCCCCATCTTGCGTGGCTCCACTATCAAGTGCCTTGCATAAATCACACTTCATACTCACATATTCCAGCACCAATATTGCTGTCTAAAAAACTAGAATCAATCAGACATGAATGGGAGAACAAAGAACAAAATACTGTGAGAGGAACAAACAAACTAAAAACAGAATAGAGACTACTTTTTAATAAGGCACAGGATGGTTATTTTGATTTAAAAAAAAACTTGTGGAAATGACCTTTTAACGCCGCATGATTCCCTTCAGTTCTCGCTTTTCCTCCACTGAAAGAGAGATGTACCTTTAAGACCAGTACAAGGTGTACCTGTTTCCCAGGGCTTTTGAGTCCTTTAATTTGTGTTCACTGACTAAACGTAAGTGGCTGAGTATAAGGGCTGTCCGCTAAATAATGAAAATGAAATGTAAAAGAGGTTATTAGGAGAAGGGTCGAGAGGAAAACGTCAGCGAGTGGAGTGTCATTACACAGAAGTATACTTAATGGACCCGATAATAGAACCACATTTTACGGAGCAACTCAAGCAGCAACAGCCTTATTGGCAAACCAAGGAGCTGGCCTGAAAACACAAGACCACAGTGGTGTTTAAAAACCCGATAACAGTCACAGACTCGATTCGATTACTTATTTATAAAGGGTGCATGTATTGATTGTGCAAAGCAACAATACAGGGAGTCAAAAATAAGGAACAAGGGCAATGTGAGTTTTGTCTATTATAGCAATTCATAAATACTGGTTAACATTTACGGTTGATAGGAACCTCACTCTCTTCTGATATCTGAAGACTCATATCTTCAAAAAAAAAAAATGTTTGAATGCAAAGTACTGTACAGAGACAATAATGTACATACTGCACTTCAGCGTATAGTTTTTAATTTTGATGTAATCTTATCGACATAATGCATCATTATTATCCACATAACTACTGTTTCATCATAAAAACAGTTTAACCCATGGTAAGACTGTCCAAATGATACATAACAATTATTATGCAACAGAGAGGTTACACAGATATCCAGATGATATAAGACCCACACCAAGTTGGACCTTTCAGTTCAGGTTAAAGATTGGTGAGCATTGCCTCTGACTAAAAGTTAAGTATTCCCTATGATGCACCTTGAACTTACATCATGAAGCAGTGTCAGCACATTTAATCTTTTTAATTTCTTTTGACATTATGTTTATCCTTTTTAATTTGTGTTTTAATGCACTTGGTTTACTTTTGTGTATGGAGCATTTCATATTAATGAACTTGCCATGACGGTAGAAGACAAAAGATTTGTGCATTAGCGCGGTATAAGTGCATCCTTCATAAACAGACAGCTAAAAGCATACTCAGTCCTACAGTCAGAGTTTTTGAGATGTTAACACTAAACTACTGAACTGTATATAAAGTGGTAAAAATTGGCTCTGCCTCAATCAGCTACAAAAATAAAATGCTGCATAACAACCTAATAATCTGGTATATAATAATAATGATGTCATATAAGGACCAGCCATCTACATATTGTATTTTAATTTGTGTTACTTTATGTACAGTTTACTGACAACACTAAGTTTGAATCCAAGACTTTTAATAGAAATTGTTGTTGCTGCTGTTGTTGTATTTGTACTTTTACTTATGTTACTTATTACTACATCTCCTTATGTAAAGGATCTGAATACTTCTCCTACAACTGCATACATACAACTTAAACTATAAAGTGTAGCACCTCCAAACACTGTCATGAAACATAGAATATCATTTATTTCTGAACATGTTAGAATGGCTGTGTCAAATTGAACCAACTGTGCTACAATTCAACAACTTTACAAAGAAAGGAAAATACCTGTTCTCATTCAAATCCCTGCCTTCAGGCTGCACATTCTGTTTGTGTGATGTGGAAAACATGCTGCAGACAAATATACCAATTCTCATCTGCTCTCAGAGATTTATGAGAACACAGGTGCTTCATGATGAAAATAAGCCTAGGCAAAAAAGTGGAAGAGATTTTGATTTTCTATCTTGAAAGAATGAAACACTTGGTGATTCATTTATGTGTCATAACACAAAATTAGACAACCCACTGGTCTACATTCAAACCTGTTTTCAGCAGAATTCCTGTACTTTAGCAGTAAGAATACTCTTAGCGTCTTTGATTTGGAAATGCTACAGCAGACAGACTGTCTAAATGTGCCATAGTGGTTATTATGAAAGTGTGAGAGGTGGAAACATATATATTATTGTCTTCTCCAGCTTCTCTGCAGACAAGCACTGTGCTGGAACACTCTAGATAAGACAGTCAGAGGTTGAGGGAAGGAGTGGGGTGGAGGGGCATGAAGATAACTACCTATTTTTCAATGTCCGCATAGCCTCTGGGTTGGCAAAAAGCACAGACTGTAGCTCTGCATTACAAACGATAGTCAGAGTGGGAGCTTCCTGATAAGAGCTACCCCCCTCCCCTCCAGGACTCCATACAACTTATTCCCATGGAGGGTTCCTTTCTGCACTGGCTGTCTTTTGTGTGAGATTTGCAACTTAACATGTTTATATATACAGTATATATGCAAATCAAGATAATTATCCCATTACTTGTTCAAGTATTATTAAGTGTTGCCTTACAATTTTTTACTTTTTATTTAGATTTTTTATGCTCTTCTGTATTCTTGTATGATACTTTGCACTTTTGCAAAGAGCGTCTAGCAAGTGTTCCTGATTTTCTGTGCAACTGTAGCATAACTTGTGTAACATATGATGGAGAAAAGCCACTGAAATAATTCACATTTTTATTGATGGAGATGTCTGGGTGAATAAAGAGACATAACCAGCAACACTTACACTGTGACAGCTATGCATTAACAAATATATAATAACTATGAAAATGGCTGATATTCAAATTAAACATGGACCCTGGGTAATTTTTTTACACAAAGGTTTAAGTGAAACATAAAAAATTTCTTGAACAGGTTTCCAGAATGTTCCTGACTGTGTTCATGAAACCCTTCACAGCCACAGTTAAATGTTGTACATCTCAACCAAGGCTGCTGTTTTAGCCGCACTCCTGCTCTGCTGTCAACAAAAACCTTCTAGCCTTAATTACGTTTCTTCTCAAAAAAAAAAAAAGAAAAGAGAGAGATGACAAATATAAAAAATATAAATATATAAAATACAGTTAATTACAACTTGAGTTTTAACTGTCAGGTTTTGGCCATAATTTCTATTGATGGAGTACTGAAGCAACTGCTGAGATCTGGCGGGTAGGTAGGCTATGCTGCTAAAACAAACTTATTCAGGGAAGGAAACACAAGCAGTCAGATCAGACAGGTTGTAAACAAGCCAACCATTTAATCAGATTATCTAAACCATTTTATGTGGAGGCAAAATCAACACTGACCACACCCAATATGTCTGTAAAATTCACTTACTGCACAGGGAACCCTCACTCAATGCCCACTTTATTATGTACAATTTTATGTAGTATGTCTGTCTTAACATCTATATTTATGACGCTTAGAATGTTTCAGTGTTGTTGAAATTGTCAAAAATATTTAAATTCAATTGTATGTTGATTACTGAGGTCATAGTTAGAGGTGGTGTACTGGACTACATTATATTCAGAGGTGTTCCTAATATTCTGACCCTCTCATGTACAATATGTAGCTGGGGAGGACAAAAATATAGAGATGCCTCTAAATATAAAGTAGCATTAGTGAGTCATTATTTCTCAGTTTTGTTCTATTTGCTCTGTAGCCTACTGTGGCTGCAGTTTGTTCTCCGAACTTTACATAATTTCATTCCGTTACTGAAGTGACAAAAGAAGCTTTGAGCCAACTTCTTTGCTGTCAGTGTTAAGTAGTGTCTGTAGGAAAGCCAGCTAACTTGATTGCTAAACAAAACAATGAGTTCACTGATTGTATAAAAAAAAACAACGTTATTTGTGCCATCAACTCCTGTCTTATAACACTTTAATGGTCAACAAGCCACTCCTCTTTTGAGGAAATGGTCTTCTACTTTCAGCCTTTACAAAAACATAAACAAACAAACATAGGCTATAGAATCAGGTTTTAAGACAGTGTAAACCCCCTAATGACTAAAGTATGGCAGGTTTGCATGTAAACATGTTAGCTTAGTGTTTGCATTTTCTGTTTCTAATGCCCAGAAATACACAAAATTGTGGACAGGGAGTTTCTTTAAATAGCATGGGCAAAATGAGCTTTTGTGACTTTAGTCTTATGCAACTGTGAAATGGCACAGGAGTAAAACTGAGGC